CACGAGCACCGTCTTTAATCCCTCTCCCGGGAATAATATTTTAATTGAGACCTCGGCTAAAGCTCCTCGGTTCGATGTTAATTCACGAAATGTTACTCTCTTCGACCTGTGAATAAGGAATTTTCCGGGTCGTCGTAGTTCTACAATTGAGATAGTGTCACGTGGATGAATAAAGTACGACACTGCCACCAACGAAAATTGATCCGTTAAAAATGACGTTATAAAACTCGAATGTTCTTTATACGCGTGAAATTATTTCATTCGTTCACCGTTGACACGAGCAAACTAACGGGGAATGCCCCCATGCTCCTCTTTTTCTGTAACGTTCATTTAACAGTTAGCCGACGCGACGGTGTCAAAGCAGCTTGAAAATTAACCGGGCGTGGAACTTCCTTGGATTCCTGATAGAGATTCAATATTTATACTCGAGAAAGTTTCCAGGAAACTCGAAACGCTCCAAGTATCACTCGACGTCGTAGCACCGTCAAGTTTCGAATTCCACCGTGCCTCGATCGAACCGATGGTATCGCGACGCCTCGTGTCTATCATGGCTCGAACCGAACATTTCCGGACGGCATTTGTTCCGTGGAAAAGTTCGGGGGGGGGGGGATAGAGATCAGCTGCAAAAAAAATCTGACGTCTAGAAATCCTGGTAAATATGTGGCTTGGTTTACCTGAAATTGCTGCCTGGCTGACCCGAAACTCTTTCGAACTCTGATATCCAATCTCGACGGACACGAAACAGAGCAGAGATGGGCGAGACACCTAAGATTCCTCGGAATAGTATCTTATCCTGAGAATAGCGCACCCTCAAGAATAGTATCCCATGCCAACGTTACCACCTCCACATTCCCAAGAATTTCAGCCAATTAGAAAGGGCCGTCGCTACTTCTTATTATACCAGTTACCTGTGTTTATATATATCTCTTGTTATTAACTTTAGTTAACCAGTTTACTTCGGTTATTTCTAATACCCTCTGGCACAAAGTTAATTCAGCCTGTGAGGGTGCAAAATACCGAAGCAAGTCGATCGATGATTCGCGATATAACAACAGTCACCTGTGAGCCGTTTGTCGTTGCTCCGAGGCAAGACGCGTGTGTGTCACTCACAGCAGGAAGGAAAAGAAGGTCGGTTGCGCTTTGTCGATCGGCCGATTTCGTGCGCGAAATCACCTCCATCCGACGCGAGATCAAGCCGAGAGGTGGTAGAAGCTCGAGAAACGGGGCTCGCGATCAAAATTCACCGGGAGCTCTTCACCGTAATTCACCGTGACGATCCTGGAGACCGGTTCGCGAGAAAATCATCGTCGGGGACGTGCTCTACGGCAAAAAGCTCGAGTGTCAGGCGAATTCTTTTGTTCGCGTGTAGGTACGTGCGCAGATAGCGGCGCACGCCGGAGACACGGTTTCGCGGGTTCGTTTGCCGCTGGGAATAGAGAACGAGTAGAGGGTGTTCAAGAAGACTGGTGACTGTGTCTGTTACCTACGTTAGGTCCGAGGTCGAAATGGAATCAAGGCTTGAAATGGTATGCTTTCGAACGATTGCTCGCTATTGAAGTCGGCCGCTCGTCAATAGATTCCAATCGACAAAGTTTAACCCTTTCAAGTGGATTTTTGGCTCAGAGAACGAATTGCAGACTGTATGGTTTCAAATGGAACCATTATGGCTCCGAGGGTTAATTGAGCAAACCGTAAAAAAAGAGTAGAAAATTGAACCGTAAATCCTGACGATAGTCACTGATCGAGGAAATTGCAGACTTGTCTGATCATTGGACTTACTTATCCCTGATATATCTCGTTGTAGGACAGAGTAGAACCCACATTTCCAACGTTGTATCCAGCAAAATACTTGTAAAATCGAAGTGATCCTAGAAAAGTACGATTTTGAAGATTTTTACTCGACGAGTATTCTACGTGTTTCGTGGAACGTCCTGTAGCGACTGGGAACGCAAGACAGGCCAGAATCGGATGATGGGGTGGGACAGAGGCGAAGGTGGTCGCAGAGAACGAGAGAATTTAATTTCTCGGTAACATTACACCTTAGGAGCCTTATTCCAGCGGCTTTGTGCGCCTCCGGGGGTGGCGCGGAGAGACACTCGATCGCAGGACTCCATTTGCGGTTTAGCATAATGGAAACCCAACGCGCCCTCGGGGCCAACCCGGCGTCTCTTTTCTCCTTTCTTCTTTCCATAGTGTCTCGGCAACGCTTCCCGGGCCACGTTCAGCCGCGGAAAAATAAATAAGTTCGGGCAAACGCCGGGAGTGGAGGCGCTTGATCTGTCGTGACCGTTGATGGACCTTGCGCTCCGTCGGTTCCTCTACGGTGGTTGTGGTTGTCCCGTGTCTCATGAATTCTGATGGACGCCACGAGCCAGAGATAGTGCTTTTTAGAATCGATGAACGTCAAAACCATCGGAATGATAAATAATTTCAGCGATTAGATAATGAATGATGTCGAAGCATGAATTCAGTCACATGAATTTATAACTTCAAACGAAGTTTCCAGCAATATCAATGACCATTAGCATGTCTAATTCAGCTAAGCTTGACGAGAGAATCTGTGCAACGCTTTCTACTCCATAGGCACCGTACTCGTAGTTGACAACTGTGTTTGCAGTTGTTGGAGTAAATCTTCGACAAGATTCGAGTTAAGAAGTTTGCGAAGCCGTTTAGCGTTAAAGTACTAGCTTTAAGCAAGACACAGTACGACGCGACAAGACGGCGATGCAGTTGTTATTATCTGTACTTCGACCGAAGGAAGCAGCTTTTCGAAATGTAGATTCGATTTTCCATGTAGCTTATAATCGGTGGTGCAGACGTAGTTCTTACTCTTCAGCCAACAGTTGTATGCTACGAAGATGATAAACCACTCTAACCGTAAATGGATAATTCTGTTTTGTTTTCTTGGCCGCCATGTTAACGTCCGTATGTTAGTTTTAACATCGTCGACAGGGACAATTGGTTTCGAGGGTCGCAATTGACGTCTCTTCCTGTCGCTCGAGCTTAATGATCCTTAATGATGGGTTAAAAATACCCAACTCCGATTCATGATCGAGGGTGTCACGAACTCATCGAAAGCCGTCTCGCGAAAAAAGTTCACGTCGAATTCCGAGTTAGATTCCCGGGGCACGCGATTCCGGCCTAGGGAAAATTATTTGCCATTGAAATTTCAGCGGTGGCACGATATAATTTATGGGGCCGACGTTTATTACGCGAAACAAACGATTGCGGTCGTTAATCGAAACGGAATTTTATTACATTTTCATTCGTGCGACAATAACGCCCGGAGAAATTGCCGAGGCAATTATCAGTCGTTGAAATATAATAAACGGCCAATGAATATCGGGTTAATTATCATTTAATTAATGCGCGACTTTATCGCGCCGTTACGATTCGTTCCGATCGTTCGAAGGAATTTGAAACGGTCTTAAAGTTAATCAGTTCTATCGATTCGGTTCACCGAGAAACTTCGAAAGCGCTTTCTTTCACGATTCTCGTTCTTTCTTTGGCAAAGCTCTATATCCATAACGCAATCTGTTTATTCAACGATTATTCGTTAACAGATTTAACGATTTTGTCACAATTCACAAATGTGTTTAAAAAATCTAATTTGACGACTTTTTTTTAGATATGTAGTACATATTCGGTGAAACACTTTTCTTTATGTAAATGGATCTTACAAGATTTACGCTTCGTTTTATTGTGTCGAACAGCGTTACAGCTTACAGCTGGTCAAGGGATCTTTCTACATCTTGCTTCTTGATATCCGCGAAAATCTCATCGAAGTCTGACAAAGTCCACCATGGGCAAGGCTGAAGTAATTTAGTGATCTGACGATTTGCCTCAACCGCAACATAAAGTGTCTTTGATACGCAGTCTCTCTTTCATAGTTGTCTCTCCAGACCCGAGGATGTTGCAAAAATATAGAACGGTCAACAGATTATCAGACCAACTCGACACGATTTTGCATCCTGGACGAAGAACAATTATTGAGGTTAGTCACGATGATCGTCGAGTTTTATCGTAACGCGCTGGTAAAAGCGGAACGTTCTATTCCTTCTCTCTGGCCCGGCGGGAAGAGAGGGCAACAAATTTTGACGCCTTAATGGACGTTGGATGAAATGTTCCGGGCTCATTAACCTCGGCGGATCGGCGGGAAAGGCAAAAGGAAATACGTGGCTCGGTCTGTAGGATATTGCCAGCTGAAAAAGAATTACACGGGTAATCGCCTTGCAGCCGAGATAATTGCAATAGACGTACGGAACAAAGGGTTAACCTTCGCTTTGCTCTTGCCCGGCTCATAATGTACCGAAATTTGTTTCGATAACTCGCCCTCGTTAGAATGAAAATGACGAGGTGTTCCCGAGGCCGTTGTTAGCGTTCCAGCATTCTCCGAAGAACGACTCCAATTCCGTCGGGTTAATTGCAGCCGGGGAAAGATCAGTTTCCAGACCTTTGTTCGCCAAGGAAAAATTTATACCCTTTGTAGCCATTTTCTTTCGCTTTAGAACGAGAGAGATTCGCTACGTTCGCTGAATTCTCGCGTCAATCTATCTTGTCGAATGGAATGTTTAAGTGTTTCACGCGCGTTTCCGACCGAATTCCGAAAGAGTGCATTCCAAGTATTTATTTGGTTTATTTGAAACGTCATTGCGATAATTTGCATAATTTTTTTGAAGTTACAACGATAAGAAAAAATTTTGTTTACAGTTACAATATTATAACAATTAGGATAACACCTTAACGTGTCCCTGATTTTACAGGAGCTTGATACGCCTTTAGCTCCGAAGTGAACTTTTATCGGTTCTACTTTTAGTTCTACTCGGAAAGCCTTAGCCTTTCTAACTAACATTTTTTATTAGTCTCATAACTGTGCGGATAACGCTCGTTAACACCTGGTCAGTCGCCGTCTCTGAAACGAGAACGGCGTTCGCTGGAAAAATCGCGAGAGGCGTGTTCCTCTCGAACCGCTCGTTATCATTCATCCTTTTTCTTTGCAGAGGGGCGGTGATGAGGGAAGCCGGTTAAAGGATCCTGTGACGCGCAGGCGCCGGTAGGAGTACAGGAAAGATGCTGCCTTCCTCGAGAGCTTTATTAAGCCCGCTGCTGCTTCTAATCATCGCTGGAAGCACCGGTGCCTTCAGCTCCCGACAAGGAGGTAAGAAACCATCTTCGGAAGATGTTTTGTCCTGAGAGGTGACAACGACGACCCATCGCAGGCCGTGGGAGAGATACCTGGCTACGACGTCCCCCCCTACCCCCCCCCCTCCTTCGTCAATTTTCTCAAAGTTTTCCCGGGGCAAATCTGGTTAAGTCGTTGACCGACTTTTCCCCGCGGCCCGGGTTATTCCCGCACCGCCTAGGCGCCTCGACGTTGTAGCCGCTCAAATATCCCGTCGTTTAGCTGTTCCGGTGTCGTTGAACGTCGACCGACGGAGGATCGCGGGACCTGTTGGATGACGACCCAATTCGTTCTGTTTTTAAATTATGTAACTCGAAAGGACGACCCTCCGGGCCAAGTTCCGGGAATAACGACTCTCCCGACTCCCTGTTGCGTGAAGTATACGCGACAACGCTGCACGGCTCTCTCGACATAAATATTTGCCCGGCGAAGTTTACGTTTCGCGACAGGAATGCTCTGTTCCCCGCGAACGATTCGTGACTAGTCTGGAGTCAACTTCTTTTTTCTTGTTACAGTTACGAGTTGAATCGAGCGTTTCGGTTTAAAGCATCCTAATATTGTCTCAGCCTGTAATTCAGTGTTTTTGTACAAAGTTAACACGTTGATGTGCCGTTGTCACAAATCTGCTTCCTAGGCAGACGCTTGAGCTACGCGGGCCAAAAATCGGGCGTTACTATGTTTATTTTATAATTTCATGTCTCTAAGATTTAAGCATCTGTATAAAATTACCGGGCATTCGGGTCGTTCATGCGATGACATAGATAATGACGTTCTAATATAAATTACTAATCGCCTAAACTTACCACCACATAGAATTGCATAAATTATCTAAAATCTTACAACCGATTCACGAGACAACCGTGTGTCATGGACATCGAGAAAAAAGGACGGAAAATGTTCTTCTAAACGATGAAAAGTCGGTGACAGCCTGAAAATCTACAGGATCTTATTTGGTTCATTCGATACAGAAACGACGCAGCGCGACAGAATTCCGACAAGTTTCTATTTTACCCCTTCTAGTTCCCTTTTCTCGCCTCGATTTCGCCTCTCCGCCAGTTCCTCTATCTCCCGGGCCGTTTGTCTGTGTTTCGCTTTGCTTGCATTCGCGCGGAGAACACCCCTTAGTGGCCATTTCCTAGATTAAGGTCACCTGAAAAGCAAATAGTTGTTAGGAGTGGAAAGAGGAACTCTCGCGCTGGTGTCACGTCAACGGTGAACTTCCGCTGTATACGTTTCTGGAAAACTATTTACGCGCGAAGCACAGCCGCATTTCGGAGTCGCGGCACAGACACCCGGCGTGCTCGCGAGCGAGAAACTCCCCACGACCTACCTTTCGATTCAAACCTCATTGTTTTCCATTTCCTTTTCTTCCTTTGTCATTTCTTTTCACAAATGACTGACAATTGATTCTGATTAACGATCGATTTCACAAAGTTTACAGTATCCTATCACAGTTCCTACTGTATTAGCTTCCACTAAAAAAGAAAATTCGTCGTACAATGTGATTTAAATGAAAATCCGTAATCGATTCCACACATCCGACTGACAGCATGAACGATCGAGATTTTCGTATCAACGAATCGAAGACACGTGGAAAAAAGTAAAGGGAACAATCTTGCAGCGACAAGCCTTTGGTACCGGAAAGATTACAATTTCCTTCCATTTGAAAATGTCAACGGCACTTGTTTCAATTGCACGAACGGCGATTCGTGCCGCGGCCGGATTACCGGTTCGCCTCGTCTACGGGCGAAGGAGAGCAGCAGGGGCGGCTCTCGAGATTTTATTTTCACGCGCGCGAGTCCCTCGTTGGAAGGGGCCGAAAACGACGCCACTATCGTAACCCTTTAAACTCCGAGATAGCGGGCTTCCAGCCGCCCATTGACCCAGATACGGAGCTCGGCGCGAACGGAATTTCACCGAGGCGCGAAGGATCCACGCCAGGACGAGACCTCGACCCGCGACCCTCTTTCGAAATTAGGGTTAACCGGGAGAGAGTTGTGGATCATACGCGGCAGCGAGTGTTTTCTGTTACGGGGAGGGGGGGAGAGCTCGTCGATTAGCCCGAAATTTACGTGCCTGTTTCTCATCGTTCCACGCGTCAAGAATAGAGTGACCGCACGGACAAAGAAGTTTGTGGGAGGGGGCGAAACAATCGACTTAATCGTGGGGCAAACAATATTATCTGATCGAATTTTAATGGTGAACTCGCGTGCCCTCCGTGACGACACGCGCCCCCTTTCAGTCGACGGGTTCATAAAGAGCGGTGCTCCGCTCCCGTTAATGCGAGAGCAAATTCGACCGCACCGCGTTTGTTTGGCTCCGTGTCTGCGAGTGCCACCGAGTGGATCTCGACCTCGACGAATTTACAGGGCATAAACAAGCTGTCCCAGTTATCTTTAGCACGCTTCCGGATGTTTCGTTGCTCTTTATGCCACTCGGTCCGTACCCTTTTCATCTTTTGCTCTCTGTCTCTCTTCGAGTCTCTTTCTCCTACGCTCGACGTCCTCCTTTTGTCCAACGTGGGACGCGAGCTTACTTTGTTTGGGTGGCTGAAATCTATGGTCCTCGCGCGCCTCCTCTTCAACGCCTTGGCCACGGACGACGAAGTTAATCCGTTTCCGTGGTGTCATCGCCGCATGAAAATTTCCATTATCACCGGGAATATCCTTGTTCCTCGTAACTTCCACGTTTAATTATCCGTCCACGGAAAGTGTCCCAGTTTTCTCGCCGTAGGCGTGGCTCTAATAACTATTTTCAACGTGAGTTATATTCGGTGAGAAAAATACTTTTCGTTCAAGGTTATCAAGGATACCATTACGTCTACCGAACACCCTTTAGTCGACTTCTTATCCCCTCGAATCTTTTCAGATTGTATCTTTTATTAGTCAGGGCTAATCATAAAGTAAGTCGTGTCGGACCGCGCTTTTTAATACTCTTTCCTCTTTATATAATTAAGCACAACAGTGGGGCTGTAATACATTATCGAAATACATAGAAATGTCGCGTAATATTTTCCAAAGGTAAAAATAAATGGAGCTAGAAGTGGTTAATAATAATGATTACAAGAAGAGGAAGAGGAAGAAGAAGAATAATTCCATCCGTATTACGCGAATATAGTTACCATTAGTCGTAAACACAAGCAACAGAAAATGAACAATTAAAATGAAGATGATTATGATCCATACACGACAGTACGCAATACAGGCAAGAAACAAATTACGTACCCTTAATTACGACCGTGAGGGATGTAGTCCAGAAACCGTTACAATAAGCGGCGTTAAACATTAACATTTCAACCTCGTCGCCATTAGAATACCATATCGTTGCGCTGAACGTGGTCGAAAGGTTCTCGTTTTAACTACCCCGTTTCGTCTCCGTCCATGTCGTCCAAATTGGGTCGGCGGGCTGGGACCGTGGAGAGCACGTTTTACGCTCGTTCGCATGTGAAAACGCCGGCCCGGGCCAACAAAGGCGGTCACGTAGCCCCGCTGTTTGAAAAAGAACACGCGACGTTCGTTAAGGCGCCGATGCGACGAGAACAAGACCCCGAAGTCAGGGACGAAGCCTCGGACAGTTGGACCGCCTAATTAAGAAGGAGGGTCGACGAACTCCCCCGCCAGCAGCCACGATACACATACACCGGGAAAAATCAACCCTCGCAAGCATGACCGAGAAACGACCGCTGGGTGTTTTTCATATTTTTTTTTGTGTTTTTTTTTTTGCCAAATCGATGGGATGACGCTGGAAAATACGAAATTCCCATCCGGCGGTGATTTCAGCGGCCACCGAACGTTTGTTCCAGCGTTTTCGAGGATTTAATGCCAGTTAAATTGCACGGGGTGAGAGATCGGTAATTGTCGTGTGTGGTACGCGATAATAAATGTTGCGTTTCCGGTGATATTCACGCTCAAATTATTATTTTTATTTTTCGACGAGGGTCCTTCAGCCGTTGCAAAGGCTGTTCGCGTCAGCCTTTTTATACACCGATATTGCATATCCGTTGGGGATTCTGTTCGAGACTAGATAACAATCTGTTAAACAGCCTCGAGTCCATTGATGCGTTGCAACCAATTATTTTTTGTTACCGTTCTCGTGTTCTCTCCTATTCGGATGAAAGGGTATTCAAATACGTCTGGAAATAATAATAATAAACATCTATCCATTGATAAGATAAATTAAAATAACATAGCGCCAAACAAAGTACAGAAACGATTTTCCTTCGAATGGACCGAGCATATTGTTACCAGCTTATATCGTCGCTCAATTTAATCACATCTCCGTCATTTAACTATATTGCAATTTAAACTTTAGACGCGAACTTTATTCATTATCGTCTATTTGATCGTAGTATGAGACGAAATATGAACAGCGGAGCAGTTCGTGCCTCGAACTTCATTATAGTATAAAATCCTACAGTCGCTGGTCACTCTTACAACTACTTTACCACAGTATTCTCTTGTCACCCGTCACCCGATAGAAATTGGACACCTTTCATTTCGTACTAACGTCGCACGTTATAACCCGACTACAACTGCATAGAATTTTTCATCCTCAAAACGCGTAAAATAATTTTCCCCCAGGGCGTTCCCCCTACGTCTGAAACACCTTGTGTATTGTTTCACGATAAGATCGTACAAAGGCGCGAACAAAGCAACATCCTCAATTTCCGTGGACGGTGTGTTGCTCGTAAAGCTATCCTCCCTCTTAACAGCGTGGCCTCCCTCGGAGACTAATCAGCGTCCCCGTTTAAATTCAGCCCGGTTGCTTGGAAACAGCTGACGGGGCGGTTTCGTCGATCCATCGACTCCGTTCTCGATCGTGTTCACCCGATACACCAGAGCCCTCTCGAACCTGATCGAGAAGCGGAAACAAAAGATGGTAGGCAACCGGAACTACAGTGGAAAACAGAGATCGGTTCCACTTACGCGTTACCGAGTGGCACGTGCTAAACGATAATAAGTCTCCACTGTATTTCC